TACTTTGGCTTTTCAAAAGCTCCAGCAGTCACTTTTGTATCTAATTCCCTGCATGATTATTGTCTATAATACTCATAATCACTGTTCAATATGCCAATTAGCAGCTTTGCTATTATTTTTATTATGAGGAGAAACATTGTTCTTGTTTTCAGCCATTAAAACAACTGTCAAAAGTAGTTTATATCTGAATATTATGATTTCCTGGTTATATATCGCTGCATGGAATCAACACTGTATCTCATATCTAGTGACCCATACAGAAATGACAAGGTGGTCACAACCAGTTGACAAACCCCACATATAGTTGTAGCAACATTTTAACAATATCTAATGATCATGCAGTTGTATCACTGTCCTCTCCTCCTGCACCCTGCATCACTACATCAGCATTTCTACCTGCTCTTGTCCAGGCATGATTCTATTTCAAGTGGCAGACCTCATTCCCCATTGTCAGGTTCAGTAAAATGGGAATTTGTTAACATGCGAGACAATATCTTGTTGTCGTGTTTCAATACAATCCTACAAAACAATGAATAACACAAAGTTTTTAAGTTAACAAAAAATCTTGTTTAATCAGCTGGAAGAAGAGGAGAAAGAGGGGGGGAGCTAGACTTTGAGTAACCACAACCAGTCAAAGAGAAATAACATGGAAGGAGAGTAACAATACTGTTTTCTAGTGTGACTATTAGACAGTGCCCAAGTTGTGAATCATAATATTATGTCATTGGAAAAATAATGCCAATATTATTGCTCTATTTACTAGGCCACCTCAAAGCCAACTCTTGCTTATAGAATTACTTGTTAAAGCAGAACTAGTTTCAGGATAACAACACAGTAACTTAGAAAAAAGTCAAAATTTTAATATTCAAAAAATAATACCAGGAAAAAATTAAAAATCACATATAACTAGAAATAACAAAATATTCTGTTTCAATATCATTATTTGTGTTATCTTCTTCAATCAGCATGTGCTCCCAATGTTCCTCTACTGCTGCACGTAGGTCAAGGTCAGTATCCCTGACCCTATTGACATACCATCGAGCTATTAATACATACACCACTAATCCAATACCAGTAATTATACTAAATATCACAGCGAGCCATGAGGTACATGACATAAATGAGACACAGGGTATATGGTGATAATAAACTATTAATAAGATGCTTGAACCAATATCAACATATATACTATGCAAAAACCAGAACAGTCCAGTGATCATTCCATGCATACCAAAAGGAGACTGACTACACAGGAACTCAAATGAATATATCCATGTGAGAAAATATGATGTACCAGCTAATACTGATGGTATGAGTAGTATCCTATAGGAAATATCAATTGTTTGATTGACTGATTTCCACATGAAGAAGCAAGGCATTTCAGAAGTAATGCTACTAGCAATCCTTCCAATCAAGTCAATGAGAAATAAACTAACAATTGATAATAGGATGAGAATATTAGCCAAACCAAGTCCTTTCAATGGATTAATTATAAAATATTCTAATTTAGGGAAGAGAGGTAGAATAACCAGTTCAAACAAAGGGACTACAACAAGCCAAGAAGTGAGGTTGCCAAGCAGCCAAATAGCATTTTTAGCACTTCTTTCATAGCCATCTTTAAACTGTACAACAAAATTTGAGGAACTACTTAAAACTGGAATAATGGGGATAAATAAGGGAAAAACAGTAGCCAAAACAACAGCAATACGTAGGAAAGTCTTTACATTTTCCACTTCTTCATGAGAGAAACAACCACCATACCTCTCCTTAGCAAGATCCATTCTACTGGGCTCCTCTCCCCAGTATGTGAATGCACTACGATGCTGTCTTCTAGTGCGACTAGTTGTGAGAGAGAACTTCAATACTTTAAATACAATTTTATAAGGATTAGGAATAGGTATGTGCTCAAAACGATGCTTCAGGAAAAAATGAAGACAAAGAGAAAAAGAAAAGAGAGCAAGGGCCGCAACTGAAATGGTAAGTTCATCTGCAATAATAATTGGCAAAGCATATCCACTATAAAGACAGAGCCAGAACCAGTGAATGAATGCTCTTATCTTAACAGAAGATTCATTCATTAACTGGTCTATACCATATGGTAATATATTAGTATACAGGAGTGACAATGAGACTAACATGAAAACAAAAGCTATACCAAAAAATGCATAAGTTAGCCCAAAAAGTGCATTAGTATCACATAAAAAATATTGCATAAAGCATCCTATGGCAAACAATAAAGTGCCTATCCAACCAAGCCATAGACCAAGATAAATAGCATTACCTCTACCAATCTTAGTATCTGATAACCAACCACAGAAAGGAGCAAGAAGAAAGAGAGCATTTCTCATTATAATTCCAACATTATGAAATACTGGATTGTTAGCAGAGGCAATAGATCCAGATCCACATTGGCTGTAAGATAAATTTCTCAAAATTATTTCAGAAAATGCATAACTAACTGTTACTGGCAGAGAATATATCAGTAGTAGGATTGATGGCAAATTCAATGAACGAGACTTTAATTCCTTACAGTAGTTACTGAAGCAGTTTAAAGGTTTGTACTTCTTTTTACTTGCATTTTTAACAAGTGAAGAAGAGGGTAACAACCTCCTTCTTTCTGGAGAGACAGGATCCATGTTATATTCAGTAGTAATTCAATAGCAGTGATCATGTGACTATAGTCATTATCAAAATCATGTGAATGTTATTTTAGCCTTTACTTAATTGTTATGATACAAAAATAACAAAAAAGATTACTTTGGCTTTTGACAAAGGTGAGTCAAACATTTTGCATCTCAATTCAGTTAGCATTGCTTTCAAACATAGAAACAACTGTCAAAAGTAGTTAATATCTAAATATTATGGTCCCATGGTTATGTATCGCTGCATGCAACAAACTAAGTCTCATATCTATAGTGTGACCCATACAGAAATGCCAAAATGGTCACAACTATATGACAGCCCAACAAGGTTGTAGCAACCTATTAACAATATCTAGTGATTGAACACCTGCAGTTTTATCACTGGTCTCTCCTCCTATACCCTGCATCACTACATCAGTCCAGGCCTGGTTCTTTTTCCAGTGGCAGACCACGTTCCCCATTGTCTGATTCAGTGAATTCATCAGGGGGAATTTGTCAACATGCGAGACCTTTTAGCTGACAATATTTGTACATGACTTACATCTCAATACAATCCTACACAAAACAGAACAGTACAAAGTTTTAAAAGTTAATAAGGAATCTTGTTCAATCAGCTGGAAGAAGAGGAGAAAGAGGGGGGCTAGACTTGAGAAAATAATGACCAGTCAAAAGAAATAACATGGATGAAAATAGAGAGGAGGAAGTAAGATTTATCCCAACATGATAATTTGAAATTACGTAGTGAAGTTTCATTATTTTAACGTCTATATTATTATGGTGATGGCTTCATTTTTATACTACAAATTTTGTAGAATTGGTATAGTTCTCAGTGTTCTAAATTCTAATGCTATTGCAGATGACTTTTGCTGTTTAGCTCATTTAGGATGCTTTGCAAAAACCCTACTGCAACAGTCCAAACAGAGGAATTATTAAGGTTTCATTGAAGATGTAAAAATTAAAAGGAAAGCTAAGCAATTGTCAATATAGTGGGGGTGAGGATTATACTTTTTTTACTATGTGATTATCCAATTTTGATTTACATGTACCCAGGCATTTCAGACATTGCTTTTCCTGTCTCTTAAGACAAGGAACATTGTCTTTTCATGGCTTGAAGGAAAGTAGGATGACTCCGATGAGAAAAAGCTAATAATGGATATATGTTCTTCAGCTAAAAATATTGCAATACATCTCACACTGATTGCCAGGGAATCATTTCTTAAGGCAGGGCTAGTTTTAAAGTGATAGGCAGGAAATGATCATTAAAAGTAAATCACAAAATTCTTCAAAAATACAAAAATTAAGAAAAATCAACTAGAAATAACAACATCTCTTGTACCAGTGTCATTTGTGCCACTTTCCAATAACAGTCTATTCTCCCAGTGTTCCTCTACTGCTGCACGTAGACCAAGATCAGTATCCCTGACCCTATTGACATACCATCGAGCTATTAATACATACACCACTAATCCAATGACAGCGATTATACCAAATATAATAGAAAGCCAAGAGGTACATGACAAAAAATTGACCCAGTGTATAGGGTAATGATAAACTATTAAAAATATACCTATAGCAAAGTCAGTAGACAAACCAATTAAAAACAAGAACAGTCCAAAAATCATTCCATGCATACCAAAAGGAGATTGACTACACAGGAACTCAAATGAATATATCCATGTGAGGAAATATGATGTACCAGCTAATACTGATGGTATGAGTAGTATCCAATAGGAAAAATTAATTGTTTGATTGACTGATTTCCACATGAAGAAACAAGGCATTTTAAAAGTACATGTAATGCTACTTGTAATCCTTCCAATCAAGTCAATGAGAAATAAACTAAAAATAGATAATATAATGAGAATATAAGCTAAACCAAGTCCTTTCAATGGATTAATTATAAAATATTCTAATTTAGGGAAGAAAGGTAGAATAACCAGTTCAAACAAAGGGACCAGAACAAACAAAGGGACAACATTGCCAAAAACCCAAACAGCATTACTAGCATTTTCTTCAGAACCATCTTTAAATTGTACAGTAAAATGAAATAACTGGAATACAATTGGAAAAGCAGAAACAAATAAGGAGAAAACAGTAGCAAAAACAATAGCAATACGTAGAAAAGTCTTTACATTTTCCACTTCTTCATGAGAGAAACAACCACCATACCTCTCCTTAGCAAGATCCATTCTACTGGGCTCCTCTCCCCAGTATGTGAATGCACTACGATGCTGTCTTCTAGTGCGACTAGTTGTGAGAGAAAACTTCAATACTTTAAATACAATTTTATAAGGATTAGAAATAGGTATGTGCTCAAAACGATGCCTAAAGAAAAAATGAAGACAAAGACAAAAAGAAAAGAGAGCAAGGGCCACAACTGAAATGGTGAGTTCATCTGCAATAATCCACTATAAAGGCACAGCCAGAACCAGTGAATGAATGCTCTTATCTTGCATATGTGGCCAGTTATAGGGGGGATCATTAGGAGATGTACTGTTAGGTAACCGGTTATCATGGTTATCATGGTTATCTGTGTTCTATCCTTTCAAATAATTTACACACTGGCTAAACTGGTTACTGGTCAAGTCAGTCATTAAAATACAAGTTTCAATTGGTAGAGCATAAATCAGTAGTAGGATTGATGGTAAACTCAATGAACGAGACTTTAATTCCTTACAGTAGTTACTGAAGCAGTTGAAAGGTTTGTACTTCCTTTCACTTGCATTGTTAACAAGTGAAGAAGAGAGTAACAACCTCCTTCTTTCTGGAGAGACAGGATCCATCTTATGTTAATAGCAGACCTTATCAAAATCATGTGACTGTCAATTACAACAACATTATCAATATCATGAAATCACAGCTAGATCAGTGAGTAGGCCAAATAAGGTATGATTCCAATAGTAACTGGTACATATACAGTCTACTAATTTTAGCAAACAATACTGTGTAGCACAAAATTTTTGAGGGCTGTAATATTCGTGAATTTGCCTAAAAATTTATGCCATCTGGCATCTTGTACCATAATAATTTGATTTTTGCAAATTTTCAAAAAACCACGAAATCTGCAAAATTTACAGCCCTCAAAAATTTTGCACTATACCGTACTTTTTTGGTGAAGCAAGTGGTTTGCACAGCATAGACAAGATGCTGCTTGACTAGGGGCTGTGCCTTTTGCAATTGTCCAAGAGACCTCAGATGTGCTTTTACATCAATACATCTTACTCTGATCGCTAAAAAAATTTTAAGGCAGGGCTAATTTTCAAGTGTAGTGCATTGAATGATAAAATTAATGAAGCTACAAAATTCTTTAAAAATGCAAAAATTAATAAAAATCATCTCAAACTAGAAATAAGAAAAACTTCAGTTTCAGTGTTATTTTCCGATGTTAGTCTATTCTCCCAGTGTTCCTCTACTGCTGTATGTAGACCAAGATCAGTATACCTGACCCTATTGACATACCATCGAGCTATTAATACATACACCACTAATCCAATACCAGTAATTATACAAAGCATGATTGTGAATCATGAGGTACATGACATAAATGAGACTGAGGGTATAGGGTAATGATAAACTATTAAAAATATACCTATAGCAAAGTCAGTGAATATACCATTATAAAACCAGTGCAGTCCAATGATCATTCCATGCATACCAAAAGGAGACTGACTACACAGGAACTCAAACAAACATATCTTGGTAAGAAAATATGATGTACCAGCTAATACTGATGGTATGACTAGTATCCAATAGGAAATATCAATTGTTTGATTGACTGATTTCCACATAAAAAAGCAAGGCACATCAGAGTTATTATCAGCAACAAGTCTTCCAATCAAGTCAATGAGAAATAAACTAACAATTGATAATATGATGAGAATATAAGCCAAACCAAGTCCTTTCAATGGATTAATAATAAAATATTCTAATTTAGGAAAGAGAGGTAAAATAACTAGTTCAAACAAAGGGACTAGAACAAATAAAGGGGTGACATTACCTAAAAACCTAATAGCTTCTCTAGCATTATCCTTAGAACCATTTTTAAACTGTATAGTAAAATTAAGTGAGTCCAACAAAAAAAAGCAGAAACATTTAAGGAAAAAACAGTAGCCCAAACAACAGTAATACGTAGAAAAGTCTTTACATTTTCCACTTCTTCGTGAGAGAAACAACCACCATACCTCTCCTTAGCAAGATCCATTCTACTGGGCTCCTCTCCCCAGTATGTAAATGCACTACGATGCTGTCTTCTAGTGTGGCTAGTTTTAAAA